CTACTAAAGTTGCGTTGTAAACACGCGTACTTGTAAGTTGTAACGTTATTATTAGGCCTATACATACGATTGTTAACAACCGGTTCGTGGAGGTCATTGAATTCTAAGAACAGGTTCACACGAACCGGTGCGAACCGGCTGAATCCCACCACTGCCACTGTCAGATTGCCATTTCTAGGGGGACTTGGAGCATGCCTCCCTGAAATGTTTTGAAACTTTATTGTTATGAGATTGAATCTTGAGCCATTTTTAACCACAGATACTGCATACACGCATGATAATGTATTGAATTAAAAGAAGCAAATTTTAATATATAAGTTGTAGCTATACATGCCATGAATAAGTGGTCAGGCCATGGCCTGACTGGCCTTACCGCTTCCTACGGCCCTGAGACAGATATATAGTGGGTCAGCTAATAATGAAATGTTCAAAAAACGTGCTAGTCAACAGCGCCTACCACCAGTTCTTGGACTATTCTAATCGAATAATGAGATTTGACCATCACTCTTATAACATATCCACGTCCCCAGAGTGAGTAGCGCAAGTTTGCAGTAATGGGACGCGAACCATGGTTTTTTGTATTCATAGCCCTTTTGGCCACTAAGGTTTCCATACAAATAAGGGTTAGCAAAATCACGATTTCTAGCAGGTTCCTAGCCAACTTTTAAAGCTCTCTCTCTTTTTTTTGGCGCGTCGCCTTTTATAGGCGCGAGAAAGATTTTCTCGAAAATTCCGACAGCAATTCTAGGCTGTATTTAACCGGTTACGGAAGTGGTTATATTGTCGATTCTTACGTTCACGAATATTCTACAACCTTGGAGAATTGGCGGGTGTTTCGCAATACTTAACTGACATTGCAAGCTAAGTACGCTTTTAAATATAAATTCAATCCAAACAAACGTTGTCATTAAAATAAATATATAACAAATTCGTTACACGCAATACATATCCAACACTACAAATTTTTAAATACAAACTTAATCTAAACAACGTTCATATTAAAAATAAATACATGACAACAAATTCGTTACATTGAATATAGTGTTATGCATTCTTATTCTCGGAAAAAGACCTGACAACGCGGATTAAACCTCAATCACCGAACATGCTTGCCCTTTCAGCCTTGGAGGCGTTATAATATTACGGCCAATCCCACTATTCGTTGGTAAAAGAACAGCCCAAGATTTGGTGGTGGGTGGTGTTGACTAGCTGCCTTCCGTATAATCTATCACTACTAAGTTAGGGACTGTTAGCGCAGATAGTCCTAAAGCAGCTTTGCCCAAAATTCAAAACCAACCAAACCCATTTACTGCTAGTAATTAACGATATGTTGAAAAAAAATACGTGTATGTCTTAAAATGAAGTTTACTCCTGCCGAAATTCTTAATCTTCTTGTCGATTATACATATGTATAAAAAAACAAAAAACAAACAGTTTTCGACTTTATTTGAAATTGTATTGAATTTCCACAACAACAGCAATAACGACGAAACACAACGGGAAGTATGAATTTGTTCTTTCTGTGCATCATAGATGCGCGTCAGATAGACGGATAATATGTCTAGAATGAAAGCCCGCCTCTATTTTATGAAGTTACTGCGCATGCGTATCACCATTCGCATAACGTTTTATAGATTGAAAACAATTCCATTCTTATAGAAGTAGAAGTCCTAATAATAAGCACAATCTAGTAAACAGAATAGGAACCACAGATTTGTGCAGAAAAAAAATTTTCATTATGCAGAATGTTGCACATGTTATATTACTTTCTACTATTGTTCATAAGTGTATTTTTTCAAGTGCTGCATCTTCTCTAGATGGTAAGTACGTCTAGAAGTTGAATATGTAAATTTTCTTGCCCAATAAGAAAAGTCGCTGTGGAGATAGGCCTAGTGGTTAGCGTGCTCGGACTGCGAAACCTAAGGTTCGCAGTTCATGCGCCGTTGTCGCTAAAACTCGCTCTGCACTTTGGGACTGTGAGTTCACTATAAGAGTGACAGTAAAATCCCTATATTCGGTCTGATAAGATTAGCCCAAGAATTGGCAGTGGGTGCCATTGAGTTGCTACTTTCGCCATAGTCTATCAATTAAAAATTAGAGACAGGTAAGCGCAATTTTCTTTGTGTGTGTAACTACAATTACAAATACAGTGGTAATTTCGTGTAACTTTCTGACTTTAATTATTCAGATAAAGGTGACAAAGATGGGCGTACATGACTCCAAACCCACAGCCTCAGTATATCGCTTCAGATGTTTAGAGAACAGATCGTTTATAAAATATTGATTAAATTATTGGGTTAATTTCACACAAGGTTCCTCGAGGGTTATTTATTCTAAATGTCCCTAATTTCGAAGTGTTCGACTGGAGTCAACTCTTGAGCCACTCTTGTCTGACAGAATAGTGGTATTTGACTGTCACTCTTATAAAGCACCCACGGATACAATGTGCGGAGCGCGATTTTTTGGGCGATAACGAGACGCGAACCACGGACCCTCAGCTCCGTAGCCGAGACGACACGCTAATTATTGGGTTGTATTCGGTTCAGCTGAGTAAATATATGATGATCTGTCCTATTACAGTTCATGTTTAGACGCAATATTTTACGCATGAAATATTTTCACAATACTATACAAATTGCCCCCCAGTGGCACAGCGGTATGTCTGCGGACTTACAACGCTAGAATCCGGGTTTCGATACCCGTGGTGGGCAGAGCACAGATAGCCCTTGTGTAGCTTTGTGCATAATTAAGAACAAACTATACTAATTCTATTTCATATATTAACAATGACAGAGTAGATGTTTTAACCTTGTGTTCGGGACTACTCACAAATGAACAGTTTTTTTTAATATTCATGTTCAAATCAATTTTTAATTACCTTATGTATTTTTCAATACAGTTTACTCTTTCTAATATTAAAGCCCATTGGCGGCGCAGCGGTAAGTCGGGTGGCTTACAATGTTAAAAAATCAGGTTTTGATAGTCGTGGAGAGCAGAGCACAGATAGTCCATTGTGTAGTTTTGGTCTTAACAATATTGTGTTGATTTGTTAGCGCACAATAGCCTATCTATGCTATGTTTACTGCGGGGAATCGAACCCCCGATTCTAGACTTATAAGTTCGTAAACTTACTACTGACCCTCCATGAGACGCTTAATAACAAATAAACTGCGGTTAAAATCTCTAAACATTTGGTTAACTATCCAACACAAGTTACAGCGCTACACATTTCACTTTTCATGATTTATTAATAATATTTCAGCCAGGCCATCTAGATGTACCCAGTTTTAATTGATTAAACGTTCCATCTGTAATAGAAATTCTGGACTGGTTATTTAGATAGAGATTCAATATGTAACTATATTACATTTCTCGAAGCATTCAGGCAGTGTAAATTTTATTGATTTTGTTTTGATTTTAAAAATAGTTATGAGAGTAAATATCGTTACATTTACTGTTAGTGATAATTTAATAAAATCTGTTTAAAAATTATTATTTGTGTAATAATGGTGCTGACGAATCATACTTTCCTAAAGACATGTTCGACGACGTTAATATTGTATTACAAATTAGTAAAGAAATGAAATTCGGATTACATTAATCTGATAAAACAATTCGTGTAAACACTTAGTAAATTTTTGAATAAAAATAAGCCTAGAACTCAATAGAAGAATGATATATATTGTAATATATAAAGAAACGTATTCACAAATTTTCTGAATGTTTATGCTGGAGAAGCAATGAGGCATTTTACGAATAATAAAGGTTATTAGAATTAGGCGTGATTATAAAAGTTTTGTTTCCATTATATTCAGTTGTTTGCAGATTGAGAATCAAGGACGTGTTAAAATAGAAAATTATGATTTATTTTCATAAGCAGTAATATAGTGTTGTAAACGCAATGAAATTTTTAGGCACAACCAAAGTGATTACAGTTACGTTCGAAAGGTTAGTGATTTATGATAGGTCTAAAATATGATTTTTATACACTTCTGATTCGAAATCTATAGAGGACTATAATTAACAGGAATGCGACTAAAACAAATATATATTTATACTTATAAAATAGTAGTTCATAGGACGTGGAAGCCTTTTTCACTACATAAAAGAAATATGTTTTTAAACACATGCCCAGGAAAAAATAAGTTTTTGTTTGAAGTTAAGCACAAAGCTACACAATGGGCTATCTGTGCTCTGCCCACCACGGGTATCAAAACCCGGTTTCTAGCGTTGTAAGTCCGCAGACATGTCGCTGTGCCACTGGGGGTGGGCAGGAAAGAAAAAAGTTTTCTTTAGCAAAGCCTTTTCGGACAACTACACTTCGTCAAATTTGAGATGAGAATCAAATCTGTTGAAAAACAATACTTCTTATGTGTAGTAAAAAATCTAAGGTGTTCCTTTTGTTTTTGATTAACATATTATATTTTGTAACAAGGATTATTTTACCGGCATTAGTTATTGTGGAAATAACCCCTATAAAAAGAAATATTAATAACTATGTGTGGAACCAGAATTTTTTCAGGGAGAGGAGGGGGTCGCTTTCAATCCACCAAAAGAAAGGCCTATACGAATATAGTTGATAAGAAAATAATGTAATATTTATTACAAAGTTATTATATACTAAAATATGAGGTGATTTGTTTTCTTTTTTGCATTTAAAGCATTATATATTTACTTCAAAATTTTAATATTATCTTATTATACAAATTATAGTTCAGCTATTTAGATACTTAAAATATATCGTATGACAAATGCTAAACATAATAATATAGCATACAGGACTTATAGAATAAGGCTTGTGTTTTACTAAACAGACCTTAAGGATACAAGATAATACCAAAAATATTTGTATAATAATTACGCTCAGAGAATCTATATTTTTGATAAGAAAACTACAGGGTTTTCTTCTGTTACATCACATTTACCATTATTGTAAAAACGTGCAACAGTAATTAAACGAAAATAAGTCAAAAATAATTCAGCTCTACGATATAGTTATATCAATATCCAAAATAAAAATTATCACTTTTGTTATTATTGCTGTATACACGCGTAGGTTGGATTTATGAGCTAAACAAAAAGTACAAACAGTTAAAAGATTGAAACAAGTCTGTAAATGTTCTTCATGTATATTATAAGGGCTACTGAACGAATAACAAAAATAAATGAAGAGAAATAAACGTTTTTCTTAGTGTGCTAAAGTAGTTTATATAGAGATAAGTATTCAATTATCTAAATATAACTTTTACCAGTAAGTAAATTTTTTTACCCAACTTTTAAAAGTATATGATTAAGGGTAGGCACTGAGTCCCCCAGACCTTTTCCTTGGTTGCATACATAACAACAGTGAATGTGAGTATCAAGCATGATTTGGCTTTTTTTTTTAATCTGTCTCCTTTTATTTTAGAGCCCATATTTCAACGGATATTTCCCATTCGAATGTCTACCTGTGACAACAGCCTGGCTTATTCTTTTCCGGAGAACAAAGCGTTTAACCAAACACGACACGTTAGAGTTGTAGCTGAGGAAGTGAGTAAAACAATATATTGCTTTGTATGTTTGTATCAGTATGTTCTTTTCTTTTACATTCAACTTGTCTAATAAAATGACATTTCATTCCCATGATACAAATTTTGAATGACATTAAATAAAAAAGGAGAAACGCTATGCTAACAAAAATTACAAGTGAACTGACATGTTTTTTGTTACCATTTGTTGATCAGTATTTTTTAATGACTTTTATATTCAAAATAAAATCAATATATTCATTATTCATCTTTTTGTCGTGTAGCATTTTAGTACATTGGAAAAAAAAAGACACATGAGAACAAGAACAGCGCATAAAACGATTTCAGAATATAATTAAGGTAATATAATACTTTTGGTTCCCTTTGAAAGTATGATTTTACGCCTTTCGTGTGCGATTCTGGGTTAAACAATGACTTTCCCATATGTTGAAGTATAGTTAAATATTGTTGAGAAACAGGGTCAAGTGCGACTTTATTCTGTTGCTTTTAAGTGTCTTAAACTTGCTAGCAGTTCAAATGCGGATTATGTTATCAAAGCTTTATTATTTGAATATATAGTTATATTACATAATACGAATAATCGTTTTCAAGTTTAGGTGAGATAAAATGATCACATCAAGACATTGGGAAAAAATGGTATACTACAAGAAATGAAAACAAAATGTACGTTATGCTTAACATAGGGGAAAGGATAATTTTTTTTAAGCGTTCATCAAATTATTTAATTTCTTTAGACTCAATGAAACATAGAAGCAAATTTAACGAAATGGATGCTCGAAGAACTTTCACAGAGAGCTCTTTCCTGATACAGTTTCAGTAGAAAAACTAACAGTCTATGTTAATTCTAAACGTCTGTATACATCAAATTCGATGACGAGGAACCCACTTTGAGACTAATAATGGCTGGAGACGGCTTGAAT